CCCATGGTGATTTAGTCTGAATAGAGAACTTTGTTAAGGAGGTCTGTGCTGCCGCAGGGCTGAAATAAATCATCTGCAAGATGGTGTAACACAGAGAAAAGGTTTTCATAGTCCTCCCCATTCCATAAAGAGAGCAGTGGCTTGTCTTGGCACAAAGAGGATTTATTTCACTTTCTCTTGCTAGTTTGTTTCTTTCTCTTGATAAAATCCATGAACAAAGCTTCTATTTTATATCCTCTTCCAGGTTCTTGGTGCATTAGGCTTCAGAGAGATGCACAGCCATGGCTCTGGTGATCGCCACAGGCAAGAGGATGAGTTGCAGGAGAGTAAGGAGAATCCTCCATGATATGCTGAAGAGCCGTATATCAAGTCCTCCAGCATAGTACGGATTAAAATGTGGATGCTCCCATGCACTACAGAACACTGCTACACATGAAAGACTGAACTTCCCTCAGCCTGGTTTTAGACACTGCTGTCAGCTCTTCTCCACTTCTTCCAGGTGTGCTCCTTTTACTTGGTGATTACCTGTGTTGCACTAATTTAAAAGGAAATAGAGCATGTGCTTTTCTGGTAAAAGGTATTCTAAAACATGTACCGTAATAAACTCATGATTTGTTCTCCGCAGGGTTGAACTCCCACTTGTGCAATCCTGCTTGCAGTCAGCTGAAAACAGAGGCCAAGAGGTCCATACCCCCTAGAGAAGGTGACAGCAGCTAGAATGGCAGCTGCAGCAGAATTAGCTAGGTAGGTGTGACATGAGTGCTATAATTGCAGATTATGATAGATTACGTGTCACTGTGATGCCATCCTCTTCTTAGTCCAATCCCTGATTGGTGGGATCATGCAAGGAACAAGTAGTGCAGATGAAGAAACAGAAACTGAACAAGTCAGAAGGGGTCTCCAGGGCCATCTCGTCTGACCCCTGGATCTAGCTGGCTCCATTCATCACGGGTCTACCATGTGCATGTCAAGAACAATCAAGGGTCCTGAGGCCACTGCCAAGGTGAGCCATGGAGAGGCAAAAAATGCAAAAGAGGTGGAATCTTTTGAGGAACACATCAGACCAGATTAGATAGAAATTAGCATGGGGTTGGGGTTGGGGGAGCAGTTAGTTGAAGCCTGAAAAAATGAAATCAGTTTTTTAAATTAAAACTAATGTTTAATTAAGTTCTCTCAAACAACAACTTGGTTAATATTAAATAATCCAAACAGAAGCCTGTTAGCCCTACAATTAATTCTCTAAACTGAATCAGTGCCTTATACTGGATATTTTGAGTTGAGGAAGGTTTTTCTATATAATGGAAGGATCAAGTTGATCAAAAATATTTTACCTACCAGCTAGAGAGACGGATCCAGATACAGTCCTGCTTAGAATAAATTCACTGACATAATTGGGGTAAATTAGTCATGACTAACCAGAGTCGCATGCAGATCCGATCCAACAACATTTCCCTCTGCGGGTAAGGATGCAACAGTGGGGCAGGGAACCCGTTTGAGGTGACCGGAGCTGAGCTGCTCCCCATGGGGCTCCTTGCAAAGCAGCTGGCATCTGTGGGGAAAGCCACTCCCATGGACGCTCTCGCCCCTCCCCATCTCCCTTTGCTGAGAGAGGCCTGTTGTTCTCCCAGCGCCGTTCCCTTAGGGGCAGGCACATTGCAGGGACTTCTCTGCGGTTACCTCCCATCTCCAAATGGAGAGGACAGCAGAGGCAGAAGGCCCCCTGCAGGCCTCCACTAGTCAGACTGGATCCCAGCCCTGAGGGTCCCCACCCAGGGTGCGCGGCACACCAAAGAGAGGCAAGGCCCGATTGGTAGGATGAAACAATGCAAATAATGCACTGCTTTATTCATCAGATTTGCACCGTTGTTTAGGAAATACAAAGAGGAGTAGAAAAGGGAAATTGGATTTGTGTAAAAGGACCCTTTTCTTGCTGATACATATTCACAATGCTTCGATCCCTCTAAAAGGCCCCCATTTCAATTGAAAATGTTTGTCCAGAAAACACAAATGCAGTTCAGACTCCACCACTGAATTCTTGAACGAAGTGAAACTGTTAAAAGACCAGAATCTACACCAGAAAAATGAGACAGGCTAATTACATAATTCCCCAAGAGCATTTTGATTTCTTGTTTAGTCCATCATATTCAGTATTTTAATGGATTAAGGGACGGTACTGCATAACAGCATCATACCATATGATACAAAAGTTGAGAGATTTATAGTTTTTTGTAATCCAGGATTCAGTTCTTAACCTGAATGAATCAATCGACAGGTACAAACTATCCAGATGAAGAAACCAAGCCACCAGACCCTGATAGGATTAACACTTACCTCCAGCACCAACACCCCTATTAGCAAAAAATTCAGAATGATAAAGTCCTACACCTGCACATTATAATGATGAGCACTTGATATTCCCATAACTGAGTCCTCAAGATCTCAAAAAGTAGCCTGGAAGGGAGAGCATTCTTCTAACCATAACATGTGCTGTACTTTTATATGACAAGTAGGGATGCTTGAGGTAGCGGTGGGGAAAATCCTTCCGTTAGTTTCCTTTGCATCTTAAAGTTAGCACAACATGAAATAGAAACATAGTCAGAAGGGACCTCCCAGACCATCTAGTCTGACCCCCCGGCTCCAGCTGGCTGTGCTCATGACATGATTACCATGTGCATGTCCAGCCTGTCCTTGAACACCCTCACCAATGGGGTCTCAACCACCTCCTGAGGAAGCCCATTCCATACCCTCAGGGTCCTAACTATCAAGAAGTACTTCCTGGCATCCAAATTGAACCTTGGTTCCCTGAGCTTGGCTCTTTTGGAGCGTGTCCTGCCCTCCTCTGCAGGGGAGAACAGGTCTCTACCCACCTCCATGTGACACCCCCTCATCTACCTATATGTCACCAACTGATCCCCTCTGAGTCTCCTCTTCTCCAGGCTGAAAAGACCCCGTTCCCTCAAGTCTCTCCTCATATGGCTTTCCTTGCAAACTGGCCACCATCCTTGCTGCACTGACTCTAACCTGGCTATATCCTTTCTGTAATTTATTTATTTATTTATTTATTTAAAACATTTCTATGCTGCCCCCATCACAACAAAGCCTTGGGGCAGCTCACAACAAATGCGGGGCCCAGAACTGAGCACAATACTGCAGTTGCAGGCGCACCAGAGTCTTATAGAGTGGTAGTAATACCTCTCTCGATCTAGAAGCATGCTTCTTGCTATTCAACCAGGGGTGGCGTTCGCCTTTTGACCACCGCATCACACTGCTGACTCATGTTTAGCCTGCAGTCTACCAGCACCCTGAGATCCCTTTCACATGTGCTGCTCTCCAGCCACTTGTCCCCTAACCTGTACTTATGACACCCATTCCTATGCCCCAAGTGCAAGACCTTGCACTTATCCACATTGAATGCCATCCTGTTGTCTCCTGTTCACTTCCATAGTCTGTCCAGATGCTTTTGGGTCTGGAGTACCTGCTGCTCAGTTGTGGCCACTGCTCCAGTTTTAGTATCGTCTGCAAATTCAATCAGCAGACTGTTCACCCTTTCTTCCATGGCTTGAATGAAAAGATTGAACAGGATCAGCCCCAGAACAGAGCCCTGGGGGACCCTGCTTGTCCCTGGCCGCCATCCTGATGATTCCCCACCAACGGTTTCCCTCTGCTTTCAGTCAGTCAACCGTACCCTAATCCATCAGACAGTGCAGTGATCTATTCCAAAACACTCAGTTTCTCAACCAGGATATCATGGGGCACTTTGTCAAAGGGCAAAATCCAGATAAACCACATCCCCTGCATCCCCTCCATCCAGCCACCTTGAAACCTTGTCATGGAATTCCACAAGGTTTGTCTGGCAACACCAGTTGGGGCAACTGGCACATGCTTACCTCCCTCCCTAAAATCAACCATTTTGGCCTGCCTGGGCTTTTTAAAAAACCTTTTTGGAGAGGATGATGAAACCTGCAGAAGCCAGCTTTTGCAATCTACTTGGGCAGTCCCTCAAAATGCTGCGGGGGGGGGGGGGGGGGGAGACGCAAGCGGGCAAAGTCTGGCGGGCAGCAACCATAGCGTTGCCCCTCATAAGCAGCAGGCAAGGTGCTGCCAGTTTGGTTACAACTGACAGCTCTCAAAGTGAGAGTGATTTTTACATGTGAAAGATGTTCTTGGAGATTTCTGCCTCCTTTGCAACAAGTTTCTCATTTCCCTGCCCCTCTAGTTCCTCCCAGGGTGCACACCTTACATTTTATCCCAAATTTCTGGAGCTCACAAATGTGCACACCACTGTTTCTAGGGAAAAAGGAGTTCTGGCAGCTTTAAGAGACAGCTGCCAAAACTCTCGGTCCTTTTAAAAAGCAGCCTTTGAATGGAAAATGGGTTATTTGGGGCTGGGACATAGGTCTGCATTTGCCTCTCTCCGTTTCTTCTTCAAAACAAGCCTGTGCAGTGCACTGGGCTGAAAATTAGCAAAAGACCCAAAATCACCAAACCGCCTTCCCGACGGTGAGGAGAGCAAGTCACTCGGTCATTGCCTGGCACTTCAGCCACCAGAACACACGTGCCTTTGTGGCTTTGGATGTGTCAAATCAGGCAACTCGGTGCCTACATGATCAGCTGGCTGCCCTCGCGGTAACCTCACGGTGCTCCGAACAGAGTGGACACGTTCAGCTAATGCAGCTCTTCAGAAATGAGACAAAGCTTGTAGATTTTACAAAAGAACCAATCATGTTAATCGTGCTTTTGAACTCCTAGGTTTCACCCATAGATAGCTGCCAGTTTACTAAAACGTTAAATGCAATAGTGACATTCATTGATTTAATCCATACTTTAAATGAAGAGGGTTGTTGGTGTGCTTTGGTCAGGACAGTCTGATCTTGTTTGGTCTTGATAGGACCCTGATGCCACCTTGAAATAATTTGCTCACCATAGTCTTCATTTGAGCCTTCATAAGAAAAAATGCCTATGTGACCTGTTTCCACAAAACAAAACAGACTGAAACAATGTGGTCAAATATCTGCTTTAATTGTATAGTTCTGACAAGTCCTTCTTTTTAAAGAGAAGTACAACAAACTACTTGTACACTGCATTAAATTTAAAATCCAAAGCAAGCTTACCTTGTAAGAACATACTGAGTGAAAGGCATATTTGGCTGAACAAACAGTCACTCCAAATATGTGCAAGGAGCTTTTAGTCAAAACAGAGGTGGTGGAATTGATCATGCTGCATTTGCATTGGCTAAGCTAGAAAAGCTGTGGTTGTGATTGAACATTTCTTGGTGGCGGCATAGTAATCACCTAAGGACAACTTTTAGTGCTAAGTTCAAGCATGAAAAGGTGTGCAATATCTGAGGTAGTTTGACAAAAACGGCGGAAGCACGAGGCAATCCAACCCCCTCCCCAAAACTCTTATGGAATTCCTAGACTAATTTCAGAAGATGAAACCTTCTTCAGCATCCCGTTCTAATGCCATGGATTTGGCTCAAGTTCTGGTCCTTCCAATTCAGAACTGCCTAGTGCTGTGGCTGAACCCAGAGCCCATGATCCCTGTAGTGAGTTCTAGAGTTACCTACAGGTGGCACAATGCCAGCACAGATCCAGAAGCACAATAAGGCTACCTTGTAGAAGAGGAGTTGCTGCTGTGGGGTCCATCACATGAGTCTTTGCCCACAACCCAGTGAGAACATTCAGACACATACACATGCCAGAGTTCTCGCTCACAGGTCACTTCTGGCACAAATGACCAGGTTTAATATACTTCTGGTTGCATTTTTGTGCGTGTGCGTGTGTGCAGAGTGAGAGAGGCCAACTTTCAATTCTGAGCAACACCCTAGCAAAAGACATTCCTAACTAAAACTAAAACCTTTCATTATTCCAGGGATGGGCAGCTTGTGGCCCTCCAGAGAGTGCTAGAGGGCCACAAGTCATCCACCCGCTTTTTACTGGGACAGTTCTGGCTATGCAACCCGCTTTATCTTCATCCACTGGGCACAAAACACACAAGGTAGTTTCTCCTCTACTCTCAAACACATTCACTATCTTGTGTAGATTCTTTCTGTGAGAGAAGGAGATAGACACATTTGGGGGTGAGGAGAGAGGAGCATTCCATGAGAATATTGTTAACATAATACACTTCAAATATGTGCTCTGAGAACTTGCATAGGAATCTGTTTCATTCTCTTGTGAGAGCCAAAATGTGAGATGCTTTTCATTGGAAATAGCCAATGAAGTGGGTAGAAAGACCATTTAATTTCTAGTTAAAAAAGGAAATGACCAATAGGCACTCCTCCCATTAATTAAACTTGTATGGAACAATAGGAATGCTCTTCCAACAAACTAGATTTAGCTTTCATGAAACTCTGGAACTGCTGATAGGAAAATTGTGTTGCATAATCCAAGATACTTGAAAGGTCAGCTTGTTCCAAAGAACAAAGCTCTAACATGTTTTTACTGTGAGAAAACAGGTTTAAGAAGTTACTTTTAGTGGCCACAGTACAAGATGATTTTGTCTCTCTCCACAAATCATGACTGAAAAAGAAAACCTTTCATATACAGTATTTGAACAGCACCTAATTATCTGGGAGATTTAAAGCATGTGTCTGAAAATGAAAAAAGCAAAAAGCAGATGTGCTTGCACACTCTCATCAGAAAAAAATGCAAAATAGATTTCTTCCACCCTAAGTATTACTGACCAGAGAGGAAGACTGAAAGCATTTTGTGAAACATTCATGTGAAAGTAGAACAACTTTTTTATAGCTTTCTATGGTATATGAAGCCACACGGGTGATGCCATTTCAACTCTCAGTTGCCCAGGGCAGCATATCTTGGTAAACAACACATACCATGAATACCAGCAGTCTAGAACTAGCTTATGAACAAATATGGTGTACTCTCAGAGCTCCATCAAAGGAAGAATTTTCAACTGGCCAACCAAGTTCCTAACCAGTAGTAGACCAAGTTCATATGGAGGTGGTAAACTGTTCTACACCACAACTACCTTAGACTTCAGCTGGGGCTTCACATGACCAAAGACTTCTCCACAGTCTTCTCCATAGTGCAGCCTGGAGAAGCGTCCCGTCATACTCCTCCTCACAATCTGAAGCAGCCCAGTCCACACGCAGCACGATCACTTGGTAAGGAGCATGCTTGAAATTTCAGCTCAGTGATGGCACAATTAAGAACCTTGATGAAATGTCCACCTTTCATACATTAAGCAAATCCATACAATGTAAACTTCTAAAAAGAGGCACCAATAGATAAGCCAGACACTGGTACAAGTTGAAATGTTCAGTGAAGTGAAATATTATGTTTCACCATAAATAGTATCCATTAAAGTTTATTTCTTTTAATTGTGAAAGGGGATGGGGCTGTCTCATAGCCTGAAAATGTTTCTGGTTCTTTTTGATCATGGATCTGCCACAGACAGAAGTGAAACACACATTTTGCATTGACACTAATATGTAGTGCTAAATTTTGGGTTACAAAAATAAGCTACATTGAAAAAACTGTGCATTTTCTTCCTTACAAAAGGGTGTACATAAAAGCAAATGGCAGGATAACACTGACAGGATCACAGGAAGTGACAGAGTTAACATAATAGTCATGTATTAGAATTCAAATGCTTGCAAGGAGATGTTAAGCTGTGCTTCATTTTAACATGAGTCAGTGGGTCACGGGACAAAAATGCTTTCCATGTTAGATAAAAATGGTAATGCCTTCTCAAAATTATTTGAATGTTCCAGTCTGATATTTGCAAATGCCTAAAAAAGTTCCATTTTACAAATTAAGAAAAACTGTCACCCACAGAGGATAAAAAATAATATTGTCTTAGGTGTCTTCTGCAAAGAGGAGATGAGCATAAGAAAATTGCAGTCAGAGCCCAGAAATCTCTGCTCGAAACTTTGGCTTTTCAGAACTGTTTCCCCTTTCTCTCACCACTAGGTAAAAACAAAAACAAGGAGCAACTGGATTTGCTGAGGCCGCACTTTCCCATCAGATGGCGCAATCATCATGTTCTTGCGGGCTAAAGGCAGCGGCCCGTAGAATATCCAGAGCATTGACTAAAATTAGGGTTCCTGTGAGATGTTTCCAGCGTTTCGTGATTGGGTTCTTCATCTTATCAAGTCCAATATGAAGCTCCTGGGTAACATCACGGTAACTGTCTCCCATCTGGTTGCTCCATGTTAGCATGAAGTCATACGCTGGTTTCCACATTGCCTGTCGAAAGCAAGAAACAGACACAAACACCAAGGAGGAGGGTTAGGGAAGTTAAGGGAGTCCGGTGTCTGGAGTACAGCATACCCACTTGCAGGATAACAGGTACGGCCATACCTGCCTATGAAGAATTATCATTATCAATGAGAGACACGTAGTCTGATTTCTCCTAGTACACAGTTTAACTGGGCCAGGGGACAGTAGCAAACCAACCCCCAACAACGCAAAACACGAGCAGTACAAAATGCCACCCGTGTGATGTCAGTGCTTGGGACAATGGAACATATTTCTGAGCATGTGTTCCCTCACCAGCTTTCCTCCTGGGGGCCTGGAGCTCACTGCATTCCCACAGAGCCCCTAACCCAGGGCTGGGCCACCACATGCAGGCAGGGTCCCCCGCACAGACTGGATGGCAGCAATGGATATGGCCATCTGGGAGCTCGTGCCCTATCCATTCTGCCTTTCTTGGTGCGGAGAGAGGCATGGCGTTTCTCCCCCTGCCGAGCAAGCTGGGTCGCCTTTCCGTGGCTCTTGTCATCCTCCTTGTGGGTGGCATGCACTACGCAATGGACCCCTGGCAAGTCCCTGCTGCAACAGCAAACATCAGAGCATATTACATATGGCCACTCTGTGCGTGATTAGCATATGCTCCCCTATTAAGATTACAGCTGTTAAAATTTCATGTTGCAAATTACACACCTGTAAGACCAGGGGGACAGGATAACCTTAAGGGTGAATGCCTTTCTTTTAGTATCGCTGTCTTTGGACACAGTGGGTGACCACACAATGACGATTGCTATGCACCTCAGATGAGGCTTTGCCATTGTCCGAGATCAAAACGGCAGCCGAACATAACACCGAGCTATTTTTCCAACTTATTATTCAGAGTCAGTCACCCGGCAAACCCGCCATGAACGCTTTCTTACCTCGCTATCTACAGCTCCATTCTTGTCCCGATGTGGGGCTTCGTAGGCATCCATCTGCTGCTTGGACACCTTGGCCAGCTTCTCAGCAAGCTCCCTCCAGCGCTGGGCCACTTCTACAGCCGTAGTCAGAAGCACAAAATCCTGAATAAGTCGAACAACCAAGCCCTGGCAGTCCATTTTCAGTAAGGCCTGAGAGAAGGCAAAGCAAGCCAAGTTAGACATGACCCCCCACGTTCCCTGGAGCATCTGCATTTTTCTGATGCAGAGGATACTTGGAGACGAGATGTATATATAAACAGCACTCCTATTTTCTTTATATTCCTCACCATGCTCTTTTCTAATATTTACAGTCAACAAACATTGTCAACTTTCCATGTAAACACATTGTTATCCATTAGGTTGATAAGCAGTAGACTTCAATGATACAGAAGAGACAGATCTATTGCCACCAAAAAGGAATTCTTCTCTGATGGGATCATTAAGCTGAACAGTCAAATTCTCTCTCAAAGCATGCTTAGTTTTTCAACCAAAGAATATAATGGAATGAATAATTTGGTTGGCTCCATGTGCAGGAAAACAAAAAAATTAATGAAGTTTGGCTCAAGTTTGGACTTTTCCAAATTCCAGAGAAATATGTCTGTCTTGTGCATTCTGAGAGTTTGGGAGCTTTAAATCAGCACAAGGCCTACATTGTGGTGCACAGGATGATGACAATGCCTAAGGTAACTCCTGAACACACATTATTGAGAACTGAATGTTATAATAGAGAAAAAGTACAACTATTAAGATAGCCGAACATGAATCAAAGCAGCACAGGATTGGAAGCCTCACTCTCAACTCGTAATATAACATGAGGACATGCAACAGATGAAGCAATGCAGTCTCCTCAGCCTGAGGGGCCCCCCTTCTTTGCTCCCACACAAACAGGCACAGAGGAAAAAGAACCGATTAACTGCAGTGGAGGATGGCCAGAAGTCTTCCCTTGTGGTCCCATCATGATTTATGCCCTAGTGAACAGATGCAGTGACTACGTGGGTACAGAACAAGCTTCTACCTTGTTGAGTCCAGTGGTGGGGGGGGGGCATATGGCCATTCTTAAGTGTGGCTTTTAAATCTTTGGGGCAATTAAAATACATTCCCTGTTTAAAACTGGCCGCTGATTAGGGAGAGGTTGTTTTTCTGAGAGCAGTCCTTTCTTTTTATTTGGGAGCTCAGTGCAAGATATTCAGTAAAGGTGTTGCGGAAAACATGCTGATTAAATGTGGCACTGCATGTTGGTCATCCTGGTGGCAGGAGCCTGGACTGCCTTGCATACCGTTTAAATGGCAAGGACCATATTCTAATGTGGGCAGGTGGGATTGTTCAAAGCTGGCTTCTACACCTGATCAGGATAGGTGTCATGGAGTGGAGAAGCCTTGAAAAACTCACATTTATGACATTATAGCTCACGTGCACTTAAAGTTATTGTCACACTTCTTGGGATTAGCGAATTCAACAATGCACATTTTAATTCCCTATCATGCTCCAGTAGCTGTACTGCTTGTACTTCTGGGAAAACAGAAACAAAACCAAGAACAGAACATGGTAACATGCAGACAGAACTCTTCAAAGTAGTTCTCCTGTCGCCAGGCGGCCCCAGCCTGCCAATGTGCTATTCTTTTTCCATTCCTCAAAACTCAGCATGACTCATGCCCTTCCCAAGTGTTCATTAACCAAAGTGTTTGCATTACAGAAGACCAGGAGGCAGAGTCTAAAGAAGGCATTCACTCAAATTCGAAAACATGTCGGAAGAATCTAATTTTAATGCATACTTTCTCTTTGGGTGACTTCTTGAAAAGGGCAAAAGTTTCGTTTCTAAATATCTGATTAACAGAATTTGGTAACTTGGAGAAATTAAGCATATTTCCATATTTTTCTTTGCACAGCTTATTCTACTTCTGCAAGTAATAGCAAGGGAGTTGCAGAGGGCACTAAAGCTCTGTCTCTGAAGCACACAGCAGCCCTTCTAAGGTTTCAGTAGGTGTCCTTGTCTGCCCTCTCCCAAGCATATCGTCACAACCTGAAGGCTATGATTGTGGACACACTCTGTGGTTAAACACAACCCCTTTCATGAACTCTTCGAAGAGCCATAAGCAAGGGTCTTTCTCCCCATCTCACCCCCGCATCTGGAATATGCAGATAATCATAAATATCCACTGGTGCGTCTTATTACAGCATAGTTGCAAGAATCAAAAGCAAACTAATGAACATGAAGAGCTTAGAACACTCTAGAAGTACTATATGAATACAAAGTGTTATTTATTATTAGAAAGTTGCTTTTCTAAGCCGAGCTCAGAAATTCTCTAGATGTTTGGTTCCCTACCCATACAACACAAAATTCTGCTTAGAGGCAGAGCTGGGTAAGAGAAAGCCTGAGCACAGAATCGGTGAATCCCTAATTCAAAGAAAAAAATCAGGTTCATGTAGGGTCATTAAAGACTGGGCTACTGCAAGAAAACTCCATATGACATTGTGTCAAATATTTGTAGCACTCTGAAAGAACTGCAGGATTCTGCCTAAGGGGGTGGTCTTCTTGGGAGGAACCAGGAAATTTTTTATTTTTATTTATTTAGATTTATATCCTGCCTTTTTCCTACAAAGGGCTCAAGGCAGCTTACATTATCTCTCCTCCTCCATCTTATCCCCACAACAACAACCCTGTGAGGTAGGTTGGGCTGAGAGTCTGTGACTGGCCCAAAGTCACCCAGTTGGCTCCATGGCCGAGCGGGGACTCGAACCCAGATCCTCTGAGTCCCAGTCCCATGCTCTTAACCACTACACCACACTGGCTCTCACACTTCTGGCCTGACGAGAGTGAGGCCCCAACCTAAGAGATTTCAGTGGGATGCTCTTTTGTACTCTTCCTGAATTAACAAAACAAAAAACCCCCTAGCATTGGATGTATCTGGGGCTATTTTTGACCCCAGACAAAAGAACTTCAGGCAAGAAAAATGCTACATCTGAGAAGCCTTTGCTCTGGCTAGGATTTTCCCTCAGGATGTTTCAATCAACATAAGAATGGCTTCAAGTGCTCAGCCAGTACAGGAAATTTCCAGTTTAATCTTTCCTGAATGTAAGCAAAAGCAAAAACAAAACCGCATAACAATGCAAACTTTTGGCCTTTTGGGGGGATCATAATGATTCTTGTATATTTGTGTGCCTTAGGCATGTTTTGTTTTACAGGGAGAAAAAACCATTAAAAGTAGCTGAAAGATTTAAACTAGCTTCTTTGTGACAATGTCCTAGAAGACTGAGTTGGTTGGACCAGTTCTGTAAACACTGCAGCACAAAACATGAGCTCTGTGGTGCCTGTTGCCCCATGACGCAGGACGAGACTATGGAAATCGTGCACTTGCTTGGAAGCAGAGTCTCCAGGATACAGCATACCAACAATGAAGCAATATTCTGCTGCTTCTTATAGATGCCTGTTCCTTCACTGGGTGTCTACAGGGCATATGAACGTCAGTCCTTTCTACTGACTGGGCTAGTAATCCATAACAGAAGTGAGCATAAAGATCACAGCTGTATTACAAACCAAGCCCGAATCCGACAGAGCTACGAAATGACGACCTTGCCCAGTGCCAGGCCTCTCCTGGCTGTTTCTAACACTTCCATCCCATTACCTGCTGAACTAGCTTGGTGGCAAGGCCTTGATTAGGCTCTCGTGGTGGCATCCCAGCTGCAGAGAACCATGGAAAATGTAGTTCCTCCCAATAACTCATCCCCACTGGGGAACAGCGTGCCTGTGGCAGCATCTCTGACTGATGCCATGGAAATACATTTCCCGCTTTTCTCTACACCCAGGATGCTGGAGCGGCAGCCCTGTTACAGGACCAAGCTATTCTCAGTAAATTTTGGAGTAGGTGGCACACTGGCAGGGATGTTTTATACTGGTTCCCTCTCCCAGTGATATTACTGGGAACACGGAGCAGCTGATTTCCTCTCTCCCACAAAACAAGGAAAGATCTCTTACCCAAGTAATTCCAAACTGAGTGGAGAGCAGGCAGCTGCTGAACACTACAGCTTCCTATTTCTTGGCATGAAAGAGAAGGTGTTGAATATCGATCCTATTCATCTAGATTACCTGCCTCCTAAAGTGTTTTCCCAAATTGCAAAAAAGCAGCAACAATGATGCCAACAACAACAAGTTTTTGAATTTCTAACATTCTCAAGACTGTCATTTTTGTCTCTTCCACTGGCAACCTTGTCATTTTCTGATTCAGCAGAGAATTTTCTCCCATTAACCTCAACCCCAGCAGATCCTCTACTTCCCATAGATAGCAACAGATCTTCAAGAATACACTCATATCTGTACCATTGATGAGAATATCCAGTTCATCTTATACCTTGGCAGTTTCATTTATGGTGATAGGGTCAACATATTTCTTGTCTCTGCCAAATGTTTAATTGCTCCTATTTACAGTGTCAAAACAGAGCAGGTTTAATTCTATCCATTATGTGCCACTTCTTACCAAGATGTTATGACTTTTGATTCCCCTTGCAAAACCTTCACTTGCACAGGGCACAGGAGTGGGAGACTGCCCACAAGAAACAGCAATAGGATTTGGACAACATAACCCACAGGCTAAGCCTAGCTGAGATAACAAACTATGGTGAATGACGCAGCCACAAACTAGGGGTTCTCTTCATGTGTTGTTTGTGAACAAGCCATGGTGAACAAGCCATGGCTTGTAAACACAGCTGGGTTCTGAAAACACAATAAACCACAGTTCAACAGGAATCCACAGTTCAACAACAAATCACACTCAACTCTGAGTATGGGATTTTGTGTTGGTTGAACCTGGGCATTCTGTTTCTAGCATCTTCTACAAGAGCAGGCATCTCCCAGGAACTGCAATGCCCACACTGCCCCCAGAACCCCCTGGGGCCCACCCCTGCTGAAGCTGCCACAGCTGAACTGTTTTTGAATTTGCAACATCAATAGCAGCACCAAAAATGCAGTGATTCTGCAAGGAAACTACCTTTTTGCTTGCAAAATTGCTGTGATTTTTCCCCACTGCATTAGCAGCAAATTTAGCAAGGGGAGGGGGCTGTAAAAATAGCCATGAACGGCCATAAATGACCTGCAGGCTGTGTTCTCACTCTGGATGTAAAAGAATCATTCAGTGTGTTCAGGCAGAATTCTTTTCAAAGTCTGGTTCAAAATAAAATAAAAATAAATAAAACATGCATTCATCAACCTTGAAAGAACAAAGGAAAAACACTCTTGTATTATTATTCTGAACACTAGACGCACAACTCGGCACTGTCTACCAATTTTAGCTTCTCAGAAGGAGATGTTGGTTTTTCAGAAGAGTTTGATTGCAGTTAGAGCTGTAGTTAATGGCAGTGCTGCCCTGGCCACGTACCATTTTGTATGCTCTTACGGGAGAGGTTGGAACCATTATCCAGCTGTTCCACAACACAGATGTCCGGAAGGTCATTTCTGCTTAATGAGGAAGGTAGCATTGCCTTATTCAGAGAGTCATAGTCTCAACTGACATGCCTTTCAGTCTGTCAGTTGCAGTCTAGTTCCTTGCCCATTGAAGCAAAGGTTTTATGAGCAATTTCTGAGGCAAGTATAATCCCTACATGACATGCACCTGAGATTGCTTCTTCCTAAAACTTTACCTCCAAGCAGGGGAACAACAACGCAGCCACAGACAAATCCGTATTTGCTGGGGGAAGTTTTTAGATTTCACCATGTGGAGTGCACTTATAAAAGAATGGAGGGAAATGTCCCTGGTGATTTTATTTCCTTGTCAAAAGAATAATTTTGGATGATCTCACTAGGCGCACCGAGTGCAAAGTTTCAAGTTGCATTTCGACCACTGAAAACCACGGCACTAATATTCAAATCCCAATCATGTTCACCCCTTGGTAAGCGCTTGCTTTCTGTGGTAATTACATCTAATTCTGGATTTGCAGCCTAAAACTGCTTAAGAGGCTTGCAGATCATAATGTAACTCAGAATATGCATCAGGGAATAAACACTGAGCGATGTAAAGCACTGAGAAACAGTGAAGAAGAACTGGTTTCTGAGCTACAGCATTTTGGAAATAAGTAGTAGTTTTCAATTTAGTTATTCTTTCCACCATCTATTGAGCTGAACCCTTAACCCAACAAAAAGTGAGTATCAGGCAAATTATCCTGAATTAATACCTGAAATAAATGGAATACTTACTGACATCAGTTCCTTCTGGAAAGACTTCCTATCTTTATTGTCCGAATTATTACAGTCTTCTTTCAATTTTTCCAACACAGAAGCCACGCATTCTGGCTCACTGTCCAACTCTGCTCGACAGAAGAAAGCAAGGGGCAAATTGCCATATCCCAGAGCATCTGCAAATGCACGCCAGCTGCTAATGTTCTCCATGAGCAAAGTCCTCACTGAAGCATAGATGTAGGTGAGGAATTTGCAAGGCCTCAGGATTTGCTCCAGCAACATGCCAGTAGTAAGCTCAGGTCCAGAGAAATAATTCGGCTTGGCTTTCCCAACAACTAAAACGTTCTTGGTGTGAACAAGGCCAATTTTACCCTGATAGTAACCAATGTACCATTCCTTTGTCCAGAGCTGACCTTTTAGCTTGATCTTCTCCTCACTGAGCAAAGCTATGGCGTCCCCTTTCTTGTATTCCAAGAGGTAATGGTTCTTGTTTTGCCTCACCACTGTTTTTAACAGTTTGCCATATTTCAGGCTTCCAACAATCCGATCCTGAAAGACTGGGTATTTGATGGTGGTTGCAAGAGGGGACAAGATGATTTTTCCAACCTCGTTTTTCTTGAGAAACCTCCGCTGTCCAGTGGCCCTGACGGCACTCTTGGGAGGGGGCTGTGGTGTCTGGACACAGAACTGAGTCAGGATGGCGTCCTTGTCATCCTTGACCTGTATTCTTAACGTGAAGTCGGACAGCTCATTTGGATCATGTGACATGATGGGGAAGATGAGGCGGCTGATTTTGCCCAGCTTCATTTGGAAGCCTCTCACGATTTTTGCCTGCTCGTTGGCTCTCACCTCGTAATTAGTCATGTTTGAAAACATGCAAAGCTTTAGATCCTGTGGCCTCCCTAAGGCAAACTGGTGCTTGCCCCACAGCTGCAGTGCCACGGGTGCCGTGCCGTGTACTTGCCGAGTCACTTCATTTACTAGCAAAGTCTTGGGGGCACAGTCATGCCCAAAGATGGCAACCACTGTTTTAAAAGAAGGGTGTATGTGCTTTGGACCGTAGACACCGACCGTGACTTTCTTGCTGATGTAATCCCAAACAGTGTAGGGATACAGAATATTCCGTCCTTGGGCTACAACGGCTATATACATGCAGGGCTCCAGGTTCTCCAGCTGAACCTGGATCGTGTCTCCATAGCAATACTGTTGCTGCAACGGTGCATAGGGGCCTTCCTTCATGTCACTCCGCAGACACTGCACTTCCACTAAACTCTTGCTCACAATGTCACTCTTGACTTCTGCAGAAATCTTCATCTCCAGAATGATGGAGGTTCTGATTTCCATGTTGCTCAGCTTAATCTCCAACACAGGGCTAATCGTGCTGCATTTGTCACTGTTGAGTTCCAGAGGGGGATCCAGCAGGGCTTTCATAGAGATCTGCTGTGTATCGCCAGCAATTACATGTCCTTCTGGAATACGGATATTAATATTTGTATCTGGAAGCTGAACTGCTCCCCCAGAACTATCCAGCTTGCAAACGATGTTAGTCTCCACGGGTTGTGTCTGACCCCAACCAGGGTTCTGGCCCAGGAGGTCCAAGTCATGGCACGATCTTGCTAATTTCCGATGGTTCAGCCATGCAGCTCTGAAATCTTCCCTGCTTTGGAATTGTTCTGGAGTAGGAGATTTTAACCCAGCGAAGAAGCCTGAGGATGCTGGATTTTCTGACTTGGCTTGCAGTACTGAGAGCTCTGATAAACTGTATGAGCGTTTGCTTCTGAAAAACGGGTTGTCCCATCTACTTGGCTGATCAAACTCAAATCCATTCATTGACGGAATCTCATCAAGATGGTTACCCACACTGCTATTTGTCGCAGAACTCGAGCCGGTAAAGTTTGGCACTCCCGTGTCAAAGAGCAACAAATCCATATGGGTTGGAAGGGAATGCTCCTTTTTCCTGTCAGGCATTATCTGCACATTCCTATTCAGAAAAGGATTACTCTGCATGTTAATCAAGAAAGGGTTGTTTTTGGTTACGTTCCAGTTCACATCCGACCAGTCTCCAAGCAGATCGAGCTCTTTGGCGCCCTCATCAGAGCTTTCAAGCAGATTGTCTATCATTCCACTGTCGGTTAAGGAAGAGTTTCGGTGGTTGACAGGCTGGACATAGGAGGAGGGGATGTAACCCATCTCCGTGGTATTGTGGGCATACCACCACTCGCCTCCTGAGGTATCTAAGACATAAAGGTGGTCGCCCTTGGAGAACTTCAGGGTGGTGAAGTTGTTTGGACAGTAGTCCTTAATAGCTACAACCTCCTTTGCATTTCCAAATGATGTAAGATTGTCTACCATCAAGGCACTAGGAGAAGGCACTGCAAAGCAAAAGGAGGATACAAATGAGCAACCGCAACATGCACAAGTTACGCAGACCACTGAAGCCCTTTGGCTCATACCCAGAAACATGCAGGGGGCTCTTTAACAGCCACCAATCTAAAATCGACAGACCCCAACTTTCTTCACCAAATGGCTCTGCAGAACTATAAAAGGATAGCATGCAGGATTGTTCGTGTGTGAACAATTGTTACTGTTCAAGGGATCCTCAAAAAATCAATTCTACTCTGCTCTGCATCGTGTGCAGCCAAAGCTACACCCTCTTACCAAAGGTTAAGCCCACTTAATTTGGTGTGGCTTGCTCTTAAGTAGGCGTGCAAGGCTGCACTGGCTATCCCTCGCATGCTTGTGGTGGTGGGGGCCGCATGCTGTGCTCGACTTCCTGCTGAGTCAAATTGCTCACAAGGCCAGGGAGATGCTGTGCCCGGGCGGCTCCGGCAAGTAGCAAACGCAGAATGGGAAACACACGGCAACTGGGAATAACCTTGCTCGTTATTGGGTGCATCATTATCCTGTTGGCAAAACAGTTGCAATGCTGCCTGAAACAGCACTTGCTGTGCCTGCATGTGCAAACCCCAAGTCACTCTTCTATCTCATGTTTTCACAAATGCCTTATTGACTGGAGAAGCTGACTCCAAGCTAGCAAGAAACAAATCTAAAGAAATATGTGGGCCTGCAAAAGCCACACTGGCCTCTCCCTTTTGGATTCTTTCATATGCTCCTGTAGTGAAATACAGATTGAATGTAACTGCTCGCAGATTTAAAAAAAAAAAAAAGAGTCTTACAGTACTGGAGGTCTTACACGAATGGGAAGATAATTGGTATCACAAAAAGCCAGGTGTGTGGCACTTATATTTACACTTCTGTTCCTCGTTTCAGTGGACAAATCCAAGGGTGGGTTTGTGTGATACAACCAGCCACACCACAGAGGACGCCAAGCAGCGTGGTGGTTTGCCCTGGGACCCACGATGTGTCCTGCGGGCACACCACGGAAGCACTGAGGGTGGCCCTGTTGGCACAGTACAAGGAGGGCTGCCTTCGCTCCAGCCCGGACACAGTCCTCTTGTCAGACAGGGCAGGGACACCCTTCTGTTGCCTGTGCCACCAAGCAGGAGTGCCCACCCCACAGCTGGCAGGAGCTCAGCAGTGCTGCTGGCGTTCCCTGCCCAGTGCCCCTAAAGCCCGCCCCGTTCAGGCTGGGGAGGGGGCACACAGCCGGCGCTGGCAGCATCACCACACGGCGCTGCCGCAAGCCCTGGATGTGGCCGGGGTGCGGGCGGGGGAGGCACAGAGCACAGCGGCACCGCCGGCAGCTGCTGGCCCTGGCAGCGGACTGGGGGGGAAGGGCTACGTGATTAGCGCACGGCTTCCTCTGCACCGCAGAAGGCTGCCAACCCTTTTGGCCGGTCGTGCGCTGGCATGGGGGGCCTCTGACCGCCATGCCAAGGGTCACTCGGCCACTCTGCTGCAGCTGTCAGAAGCACCCACTGGGAGCCACTGAGCCAGTGTGGCAAGGCTTTCTGCCACTCTCGGCAAGCGGCTCTCTTGGCTCGGGGGCGATCTATGCCTAGGCTGCCACATTTGTGCTCAGACGATGCATCAAACCCAGGAGCGGCCACAAGACCTACAGCAAGTCATGTGTCGCTGGGTGGCTTTGTAGTCACAGAAAAGTCATCCTGTGGGACGTGCGCTAGGGCTTGGATAACATGCGATGCCATATAGTTTCCAAGCCACTGTGGCTTAGCATGAAGCTCACCAAAAGCTCCAGATGAGTCAAATATTCAATGGGGAACTCAAAAGGATGAAGTGTTACAAAATGTTACGTGGAGTTTACTCTTGCGCCAAATATGCAAAGGAAGAATTTTATATTTACAGAAGAATGCATGAAAAATGGGATGAAGGTGCTGCATGATAAGAATGTAAGTGCTTCAAGGTAACTTAGACAAGGAGGTAAAAAAATGGGAATAAAGGAATGCTCTCCATCGATTCTTAAGAAAGAGAACACTGAGCAGGGAAGCCAAAGCAGAGCTGATGTAAATGAGTGAGGAGAAACTAATAGACTGAGCAGCTTAGCGCTCTTAAAGCACACAAATCTAGGTTACTAGGTAATCACCATCTGAGCATATTACAGACGACAGGATATTAGTCTTGGGCCCATAAAGAATAATAGGGCCTTTCTAGTTCAATCTTCTTCTTCAAGGCAATGATCTTAGAGCTTCCTAGCACTTAGCCATCATCATTAATATGATGTACAAATCAACTACCCCCTCTCTGGCCAGGGAAGAAAACTAACCACAAACATGATGAATTTAGCTTCTCGGCAAAGGGCAGACATAAGCTCACATTCAAAGGGTGTTTTCATGGCACATACCAATTTTGCTGAAAGAAGGGACTGGATGATGTGGATTTTAAGACAGATGTCCAAGGGACTGGAAGGCAGAGGGCTATGAAAATGGAGCTAGTGCTGTACATCCTGGCAAGTGGCTGATGGGGGGCCTTGCAAGAGTCTCCCGGAGCTTTCCAGTATATACATGAAGCCTCTTGAGGAAGTCACACAGGGGCCGGGGATAAGCACCCCTGATGCTCAGGTGGCATTCAGCTCTACGCTTCATTTCTGTCTCCTCCTATCAGGGAAGCGGTGGGGCTCTTGGACCAATGCCTGGAGGTGAGTTTGGGAAATATGAAAGCCAACAAGCTGAAACTTGATCCAGACAAGGCTGAGATGTTGTCGGTAAGAAAAGTGGTCCTAGGTGGGAATGAACTCCCTCAGCTTACCAAGGATGTAGTTTTGGAGATCTCCTCTGCTCACAGGTAGCTAATGAAGCTCAGGTGGCACTGGCAGGCCAGCTCTGCTTTTACCAGCATACGCTGCTTTGTCAGTTGTGACCCTATATGTGTGGGTGGATGTTTGGTGCATTTCTATACCACCAACAGCTGAAGCTCTCTGGGCAGTTTGCACAATCCATAAAAACAGATGAAAAAGTACAATAAAATATCATAAAATTAAAAAAGGATAGCTGGGAGGGAGCTGAGATGCATGCACACTAATGCTAGAAGCATGAGAAACAAGCAGGAAGAGCTTGAGGCTTTCCTGTGAGGGTATGATCTGGTGGGGATCACGGAAACATGATGGGATGAAAGGCAGGATTGGAATGTAAACATAGAGGGCATGTCCTATTCAGAAAGGACAGGAAGGGAAAGAGAGGAGGGGGCAAAGTGTTATATGCCAGGGAAGGGATAGGATGTAATGAGATAGCGGGTGGTGCATATGGGGATCTGGTAGAGGGGGACTGGGGAAAACTAAAAGGTCTTGATGGGGGGTGGGACCTGACAGTTGGGGCATGCTATTGCCCACCAAGCCAACTTGAGACCCTGGATGATGCCCTGACAGACTAGATTCAAAGGATATATTGCGGGAGGGACACGGTAATTATGGGAGATTTCAGCCTCCCAGATATCAGTTGGGAGACTCACTCAGTGGCGACAGCCGGGTAACATTGCTTTCTAGATGCTATAGAGGAAAGATTTTTCATGCAGAGGGTCCAGTAGGTGATAAGGGGAGGAAATATCCTTTGTTTTGACCAACAGGAAAGACCTGGTAGATTAGGTGTAGGTTATGAGAGCTCTGGGTGCAAGTGATCACTCCATCCTTTGCTTTGAGATCAGGGGAATGGGGGTGAGTGGAAGGTTGAGCACTAGAAGCTGGGACTTCAAGAGGGCCAACGTTGGCCAACTGAAGGCCAGACTGGGGAAAGTCTCCTGGGATAGGTTACTGGAAGGCAAGGGAGTTGAGGAGGGGTGGATGGCAGTCAAAAGGGAGGTCTTGGAGGTGCAAGCCTTGACGATACCTCTAGTTTGCAAGGCAGGGAGGCAAAGGAAAGCACCGCCATGGATATGAAAAGAGGTGGTAGGAGGGACTGGACGCAAGAGGAACCTCCGTAGGAAATGGGCACTGGGGCAAGCCAAGAGGAACCGATCCAAAACACGACATGCTGCATCTGCCATTTCCCAAAGGAACTCACGTTTCTGCCAGGCACGGAATGCTTTGGGCTAAAATGTCTCCTCACTCTAAAGCCACATCTCACGGGGCATCCTTGCACACAAGGCACCCCATGAGCTGGGTAGCTTCTCACATGCTTCAGCCCTGCCTTATCAGTTAGGGAAACGACAATACCAGCCTAACTTAAACAGCTGCTTTAAAAGCATGAGCCCCAGCAGATGGTGTAGCCCTTCTTGGACTTCCTTCAGATTATACGTAAGTGGCAGCATGTCTTAATGCTCCCATACATATGGCCATGCAGTGAATTCATGAACCTTATCACTAACACTTAGAGCTCATCACCTGCATCTCTCATGAACTTGCAAGACTGCAGTGACCTAGCTGCAATCAGTTTGTTTTTCACTAAAGAGGAACAGGGAATGAATGTGCATGCTATACATGGCCCATAGCGCGTGTTGCTTTGCTTTGAACTGAGGAAGGCAGGCCTAGAGAGCGCTGAGGTCTGAACCAGCACCTGTGGTCTGATGTACTCTAAAATGGGCTTTTTTTAAAAAAAAAATTTTTTTTAAAGATTTTGCAAAGAAAAACAGCTCTCTGTTCCAAATGGTGAAAGGCCACACTTCAGCAGCCTGCGAGCATCTTTGCCAACTGCCCATGACTCTACAGGGCTTCTGACGGGAGTCTTTCCCAGCCTTGAGTGGAGATGTCAGGGAGTCAACCTGGGGCATCCTGTGTGCAAAGCAGGTGCTTGATCATTGAGCTGTGGCCTGTCCCTTCAGTTTAATCAGGAGTAGCCTTCCCATCATCTGCTACTTAGGCAACACACTCCCCAGGCCTCAAACATACTGAATTTGGTAATTGGATGAAGAGGGCATTGTAGGAGCATCTTTCTGCAAGTGTCCATGCTGCAACCTGGAGAGCTCCTTCCTCATTGCCAGACTGCAGCCTCTGAAGGGCCCTGATGCTATTAACACACCATTCTAACCACGGTTAAATGATCTTGAGCACATTGTGGAGTTGAATTAATGAAAAGATCTGGTAAACTAGGGACTTTTCCCTGCCTTGTGACACCAGTCATATTGTGTTTACAGTGCTGCACAGTAAATATTGAATGCTTCTGGCCCTAATTTAAAAGTTGATACTCTTAGATCTTTCCTTAGAAGAGCATTTTCATCGTGCAATCCCTTCTGTAACAATATTCTCAAATGGTCTGTGCTCCTAACACTGAAAATGAGACCTGTGACATGAAGGCTCAGTTCAGGTCTTGCTGCAAGGCACCGCCCAGGGTTGTGAGTATGGGTTGGTCCAATGTTACAACAGGCAGCCACCAGCAGCAGCACCACTAATGCAGTCCACTAATGCAGTCCACTAACGCAGTGGACTAGGACAGGGCCGTTCTAACTATCACACTTGGTTTAAATAGATGCTTTCCCAAAGAGTTTTATTTAGTACAATTTTATTTTAATTATTTTAAGTATTTACCAAGGCCATTTAATGTATGCTGAAGTTTTAAAAACCTTTTAGACCTTAGTTTTAATGCTGCTTTGCGACTTGATTAACTGCTTTGCTTTTAAGGTTTCAGACACTGCTAAAGCCAATAATTTACACTGCTTTATTCAAGGTGCTCTGAGAGTCTTATCCACTGCAGAATGGAACAAAATATATTCCATATTTCAATCACTCAGTCATCACAAACATATGAACAAACTGAAGTTCCAGCTCTTACTCTGCTACAATGCATATATTTTAGAGTGCTCAATAGACAGGAGAAATGCAAACTAGCAATTCTAAACTTTGGCTTACCAGTTACTCAAAGGGAGGTCAAGGTCAAATTTTGAGCTTGAAACCATAGTGCAAACCATAGTTTAGTAAGACTTCTCTGCTGTGATATGCACACTGAACCCACTTCTCTTGTAGGCACTGGTTTTGGTTGCATGCTGTTGGTGCTCCAGCTTTAAAAGAAGACACTTACCTTTCACAGAACTCAAGCTGGTTTCTGAAAATTCTTCACTCAAATCAATCAATGTCCCCTCAGACTTGCACCGTGGGAGCCCACTGGCATTAGCAGCACGAATCCTCTGGGCTGCCATCTTGAGATCAGTGCCCTTCCCTGAAAACCTAATAGGCCATCTTCTCTAGAGAATTTGCTGCAAATGTTCGACCATTGATCTGCTGACGGTCTCAATACCAACGTGATTACAGTGTCATCTAAATTGTTGGAACTCAACAAAGCTCTAAAAAGAAAAAAAAAGTTAATTAGAATATATATTTTCCTTGAAATATGTTCAACTCAAAGACCTCTTCTTGCTGATGCCAGAGTGTAGGACATGGAATAATCAATTCAAGTTGCAACAACCCAGATTCAAGCTGGACATCAGGAAAAGCTTCCTCACCATCAGAGCGATACAACAGTGCAATCATCTACCCAGAGAGGCGGTGGGCTCTCCCACACTAAAGACCATGGGTCCTCAAGCTACGGCCCACAGGCCGGATCCGGCCCGCTATGCCCATTATCTGGCCCACCTCAGAGGTTTCGGACTTGCCGCGCCCACATCTGCCGCTGCCTGCCTCGCCACGTGTGCACATGTGTGGCGAGACAGGGGCTTGCTTGCACAGAGATCATTTTGGACTCGCTCGGAGAAAACGATCTCCGAGCAAGCCCGCCCCCACCTTGCCAGGCATGCACCGTGTGCCCCTGCCCCCTCACGGCCCATGCCCACGGCCAGCCCCACCTTGCCGGCCTGCGCCAGCTGCCAGCACCTTTCAACCGGCCCTCTGCTGAAAAAGTTTGAGGACCCCTGCTAAAGACATTCAGAAAGAAACTGGACAGCCATCCAAGTGGGATGGTGTAACGGGGTGTCCTGAAACAGCAGGGGGTTGGACTTGATGGCCTTCATGGCCCCCTCCAACTCTACTATTCTATGAACTTTATTTTGTAATTAAATTGTACAAACCTTTCCAACTAAAAACATGTTACTCTGAACAAAGAAACCTAGGTCTGTTTTATTACCATCACAAATCATCTTGACAACTTTTGAGTAATGGGAGGATTCAGATTATTATTATTATTATTATTATTATTATTATTATTAATTGTGAGTGGAGCTGGTTGGTGCCGGGGGTCAGACTAGATGGCCCGGGAGACCCCTTCTGACTCGCGCTGTTTCTGTGTTACCACCCAATAGCCAAACTCTGGGCACAATAACCCATAAAATACAATATAAAGTACAGACTACAGTAAAGGCATCATAAAAGGTACCATTCAAAATGTTAAAACAAAATTTAAAATAAATATAAAAAGCTACAATAGCTTATACAAACTGAATCATAAGACCTGTTTAAGCAGTTAACATAAGCCCTAATAAATAATGGACTAATTAAATGTCTCATGATAGAGGACAGCCTTAACCTGACAGTAAAAAAATATTAAAGTTGGTACCAGGCAGTCCTCCATACAGAGCTTTTTCCAGACCTGGGAGGCCACCACTGAAAAGGCCATCAGCCAAACCTCCTTACTGGAGGTAGGCTGGCTCCAGTTTTTGATCACAGTGTCCAGGTTGTGGTTGGGAGAAACGTTCCATCAGGTATTTTGGTCCCAAGTTATGTAAGGCTTTTAAAGTTAAAACCTTGAATTGAGTTCAGAAGCATATAGGCAACCAGAATTGGGCTGTGTATACGCTTCTGAGTGAGCTGGAATTGGTGTTACAAGTTCAGACCATATGGTCCCTCTTATCATTCTGGCTGATGCATTTTACACAAGCTGTGGCTTTTGAACAATCTTCAAGGGCAGACCCACACTGAGTATCTTGCAGTAATCTATTTTGACGATTACTAGAGCATGGATTGCTAAAACCAGGCTACCTCTGAACATACAGGGGTGTAGGTTGGCCACCAGCTGAAGATGGTTAGAAGGCACTCCATGTCACTGTAGCTACCTGGGCCTCAAGTGACAAAGATAGCTCAAGAGCACCCACAAGCTATGAATCTACTCCTCCAAGGAAAGTGTAACCCCATCTAGAACATGTTATTTTCCTTCCACCCATGCAGAACCATCCACCAACAGCAAATCAGCCTTGTTTGGACCGAGCTTCAATTTCTTAATCCTCATCCAGCCCACTGTGGCAGCCAGGCACAAATTTAGCACATCCACACTGTCACCTCCTGGAGATGAAAAGGAGAAATAGTACTATATGATATCAGCATACTAATGGCAATGCACTCCAAAACGCCAGATGATCCCACTCAAGTGGTTTCATGTAGATCTTAAACAGCATAGAAACCAGAGCAACCCCTTAGAGAAACCACACTGGAGCATCCAAGGGGCAGGGTGGTGTCCCCCAAGCATCACCTTCTGGAGCTGGCTGTCCATGCAGGAGCAGAACCTCTGCAAAGCAGTGCCCCCTACTCTCAACTCAACTAGCCACCCCAGAGGGATACCATGGTGGATGCCACTGAAAGGTCCAGGAATATCTACAAGGTCAGACTCTCCCTGCCCCTCTCCTGACACAGACCATCATACAGGGCAACCAAAGCGGTTTCCATGGCAAAACCAGGCCTGAACCCCGACTGAGAGGGTCCAGAAAATCAGGCCCATCCAAAAGTGCCTGAAGTTGGTTGCCCACCACCTGCTCAACATTTGTGGAATAGCTACTTTGCTAGTCTCTGCCTGCATTACTTAACAGGAGTCCAGTTCCTGGCTTACTGTGATAATGAAATGCTGGCAAATGTAACCATCCTATATTTCCTGGCATTTTCACCTGCTGAATTACATTAATCACTTTCCCTTTCTGAGTCAGTATCATGGAATGTGCGTTTATTCATTGGTATCTTGCAGCACACCTGAAAGTCTCTCCTGTTCTAGGAGGAGGAGGGCTTATTTTGTACAAGTATTTCTCCAAAGTGGCCTTCCAAGCTTGCAAGCCTTAAATTATGTTGAAAGTGCTTTTAGTGCAATGTCTGAATTGACAGACTGGGGTGCTGAGCAGATGTAGTGGGAAGCACAGATACAGCTCTAAGCCAGAAGCAGGCTGTTGTATAACTAGAACCACAAAGTATGACTTGGGTTGTGAATCACTCGATGCATGTGCACGAGCAGGGTGCTTGTGAACAGGGAGCCAGTTTATCAGCACAAATGAACTGGTTAAGACATAACGCTAAACCATGGTCCGGTGTCATAACAATGATTTTGCATGCGGCTTCCTCCCATCTCTTCCTCAAGCATGTTGGCAGAACTGCAGAAACTTCTTCTTTTAGATTAACAGCAGTCTCATGTGTCATCAGAACCATAAACTGTGGTTAATTTTTGCTATGGTTAGTGAGGGAGAATGCCAGCTTCATAAATTAGCATCTAAACCTGGCTCATTTGTAGTAAGCACACTTAAAATTACAGTTTGTTTGGAGTCAGGTGAAATGACAAGCTGTCGTTAATATAAAATGGAAGTAAACGTTTCCTGGTTGCTCCTTATGGCATTGCCAGACAAGGAGAGAAAGAGTGTAAGCTAGGCTCCTGCTTGCAACTCCATGCTGCCTCATTACCAACCCCAGAACCTTGAAGCTGGCATGGCCAAGTTCCCTCCTGCAGCCCCCTGCCCCCAGCAGGACTTGGCATCTGACAGTTATTTTGCCATACATTCTCTGTCCCCCGTCCCCCCCCCCCTTTGGACTGTACTGTTACTTTAGGAACTCACATCAGCTTTCTGTCCCTCTGGATTGTCTACCTAAACAGCCTGCCCATTCTAGCCATTTCTGGTTTTCTACTTCCAAATGGTTGATGAATAAAACCTATAAAACTAATGTTGCTCTTTACTATGATGCTTTTCAAGAATTTTGACTGTATTTCCCCATTTCACCGAGTAAAAATAAGCATTTATATCACTTTTAAAAGCCTTCCAAGTATTCTGTATATGTTCTCTCAGTAATCCTTGCAGAGGCCAAATACAGGTCAATTTTAGCCCATTTTACTAATCAAGGACTGTGGCTAAATAATGAGCAATGGTTTCTCTAAGGCTACATACTAAGTGTATGGCTTGAGCCAAGATCTGAGCAGGGACTTTCTGGTTCACAGCATATAAGCCATTAAACCACAGCAGATTATCTGTAGTGCTGAATGGTCAGGGACCACAGTAATCTGAAAATAGTTCCCATCTTCAATTCAGTGGCTCAACTTTGGAACAATTTTCTGTATGAGAAAGAGGAAGAGAGATGGATTAATATGCAATATCGGGAAAGGAAAACACACACTGCAATAGGCTTCCTGGCCCCAAACAACCCTGTCTTGTTGAGATGACTGACAGCCACATTAGAACCCTTTTTATCCATTTTGATAAAGGATCAAGTAAAGGTATCCAATGACAGATTTTAAGTACAGTCTTAAGCCCAATGAGCCATACTAATGTGGCACACAAAAAGGGAGGGACCTGTGTTGGCCCATTAAAAAAGTACCCAAATCTACAGTCAGAGCTGTTTTTGGGGTTTTTTTTTTTAAAGATTTTATTAAGATTTTAAACTAATACTAAAGACATCAATCATCAAATACATCAGACGTACTGGGTCAGCCCCCTACTACATATCTTTTAACATTCTATAGTCATATTCAAATCCATTCTTAATAACTTAAAAACATCTTTAAATCTAAGCCAAGTCCCGTTTCTCCAGCCAATAATAAAAAAATTCCAAGTTTGACAGAAGTCAGTATCTTCTTTCCCCTTCAGTGATAAGGTCAATCTATCCATTTCTGCACAGTCCAGAATCTTTTTTAGAATCAGTTCATCAGTGGGTAATTCCTCACTTTTCCAGAGTTGAGCAAGTGCAATCCTTGCTGCTGTGATTACATGTAATGTCAAATACATTTCTTGTTTGCTAATATCTTCCAGTATAATGCCTAATAAGAAAACTTCCGGTTTAAAAGCTAAGGGTTTTTGTAGCATTTCCCCAAGTCATTTATATATTTTAATCCAATACTTTTTCACATTGTCACAGGTCCACCACATATGGTAAAAAGTACCCACTTTATGTTTACATTTCCAACATCCATTTGCCATATTTGGAAACATCTTAGCTAATCGATTTGGTGACAGATACCATCTATAAAACATTTTATATAAGTTTTCTTTATACGAAGTTGCTAATGTTACCTTAATATTTCTCTCCCACAGCTTTTGCCACTTTTCTAATTCAATATTATACCCAAAATTTTGCGCCCATGTTATCAGTTTCCTTAACCTGTTCCTCTTCCATTTTCCTGTCAAGTAGGAAATCATAATTTTTTTAAATCATTTTCTCATCTGATTTGAGCATCGCTTGATCAAACTCTGTTAAGTCCTTATAAAACCCCCATGCTTTACAATCTTTAGCATATCTCGATTGCATCTGCACCTTATGCCACCAAGAGATATTAAATCCCTGTTCTTGTGTTTCTTGATCTAGTTTCAGGCCTCCTTATCCAAAATATCATCATATCTTATAATCCCTTCAAAGTTCAATGCATTTGGATACCCAAAAGCTTCCATAGGTGAAAGCCATCTTGGTAGTTTGTTATACAATTTTAGCTTTAACTTTTCCCACACCGACATTAATGATCTTCTAATAAAGTGACTTAAAGTGACCATGCTACAGTCAGAGCTGTTGTTGCTATTATGAGCCATCAAGTCATCTCCAACTTATGGCTCCCCCATGAATGAGAATCCTCCAAAATGTACTGTCTATGACAGTCCGGCATAGCGCTTCTAAATTCAGAGCTAAGGTTTCATGGTAGGCATGTCATGAGCAGAGCCAGCTGGAGCCGGGGGTCAGACTAGATGTTCGGAAGGCCCCTTCTGCCTCGCTCTGTTTCTGGATTTCTATGTTTCCTTTAAGGAGTCAATCCATCTCATAACTGGTCTTACTTTTCTTCTTCTGCATCTGACCTTCCCTAGACTCTCCTGGAAGTCTTGTCATTTCATGATGTGTCTGGAGTATGACAGCCTCAGTTTTGTCATTTCTGTTTCTACGGAAAGTGCTGGTTTGATTTGACCTGGGACCCACTGGTGTATCTTTCTGCCGGTCCACAGCATTCTCAAAGCTCTCCTCCAGCACCTTGTTACAAATGCATCAATTTTCTTCATGTCAGCTTTCTTCACTGTCAAGCATTCACCTCCATACATTGCAATTGGGAATACAGCAGTGTGGATGATCTTGGCCTTGGTCTCCAGTGAAACGATCTTACACTTGAGGAACTTTTCTCATCCCTTCATTGCTGCCCTTCCAAGTCTCAACCCTCTTCAAATTTCTTGGCTGCAGTCTTGCTCTGAGCCAGTGTGAACTCTTGCACAATTTCAATTTCTTCAACAGTAAAGTCTGGTAATTCTTCTGTGCACATGACATTCGTTTTCTTAATATTAAGCTGCAGACCTGCTTTTGTGCTTTCTTCACTTTCATCAGGAGTTATTTCAAGGCACTGCTTCTTTCTGCCAGCAGTATTTTATTTTATTTATTTATTTATTTAAAACATTTCTATGCCGCCCCATTCGCCGAAGCCTCGGGGCAGCTCACAACATAAAATTAAAATATAATACATCCAAATACAAGTAAAATAAGTCACCATATGGTGTCATCTGCACAAATTATTGATGTATCTTCCACCAATTTTCACTCTTTCTTCTGATTCTAGTCCAGAACGTTCTGCATACCAACTGAAGTCTTTTTCTTTCTTTTTGCGACAATAATTTTCTTTTAGCATTCTTCTCTAAAAATGTCTCTGTTTTCAGTCAGACCCAGTTATTCTGGGCCATGCTCAGTTAAGTCGAGGAATGTAAATATGTGCTTTATGTGGACTTTACATCCCTCAGGGATGTTACTGAAGCTGTATTTTGGCTCTATATTTCTGTCAGCTGTCTTTTTCAGCTTTACTCTGATTTCTGAAATTAAGATCTGATGGTCATTACTGCCATCTGCTCCTGGTCTTCTTTAGCAGCAAGAACACATCTTCTCCACCTTCTGTTTCCAATTACATAAGCTGTTTGATTTCTGGTGAAGTCCATGTATACACTCATCTGAGAGGTTGTTTGAAGTGCCTGTTTGCAAATGAACAGGCTTCACGAAATTCTGTGCCACATTCTCCCGCTGGCTTCTCACCTCTAGGGCAAATGGTCCTACAACATTGGGTTCTGCTTTGTTTCCTACTTTTGCATTTCATCTTAGCTGGTGTCTCTGCTTTGACCGTTCTGCCTGGGTAACCCTGCTAGGAAACCAGCCAGTGAGACTGTCTGGTCTCCTGGTGGCATTGCTCTCAGATTTTTTGACGTTCTCAAACCCCCTCACCATGTTAAGGTGTGCATCGCAGAGGGCTCAGGTCCATTAGGCCCAGCCAAGATATCACCAAATCATGAACAAGCTTTTGCATTCTCTGGAACTTGTCATCAGGGTCAACTTAGGCAAAGGGAGGGGTACGTGAGAGAGACCACCTTGGTGTCAGAGCCATGAGATCTGCTTTTAAAAGAGACTGTAGGAGGAAATAGATTGCAATTGGTTAAGCTATAGCAGGTGTTGTGTAGGTTAAGGGTTGTGCCTAC